AGTAGTACAAGTGCCAAACTACTTATCCTCCCTATTCCATACTTGAATTTCAGTTCCAGAATATCTCTTGTTCACATTAGAACTCAGTGTTCAATATTTATATTTCCAAAATAATGTGGCTGTGTGTGCTGGGGGCATAGGGTATGTTGGGTGATTGTGTATATGTTGGGGGTTGAGGCAGGGTGTGTGTGTGTGATATTTGTGGAGTGTGAGGGAGGGTGGAGGGGTGCTTGGGGTGTTCTTGCCCAGCAGGGTGCAGCTTCAGCCAGCACTGCACATTGTGGCAAGGGGTGCAGCCTCCGCTGGGCAGTCTCTATCCATGCATGTGTAGCCCCTGCACTCACCCGGCATGGGAGGAAAGCCCCATGCACAGGAACCAGCTGCCTTCCCTGCTGGAGTTGTGCAGCACAGGAGGGAAGTTGGAGGGGGCCAGGGAAGGCAGCCAGCCTCAGCGCAGCCCCTCCCATGCCGCGTAAGGGCTGTGCATGTGCAGTGGGAAGCCCAAGCGATAGACTGCCCAGCAGAGGCTATGCCTCTTTTCGTGACATGAAGCACTGGCCAGAGATATGCCCCACTAGGCACCAGCAGCTGCTCCTGCATGCTGATGTTGCTTCTGCCACCTCCTGCTAGGGGAAACATGGAGAGATGGGTCCCCACACCCCCAACCCTCCCTTATGCCCACCTGAACTCCCTCCTGCCACTGCCCCCCTGGGCTCAGGCTCTGTGCTCCCACCCAGCTGCAGCTCAGACCCTGTTCCTGCCACTTCCCTATCTGCTGCCTGGAGCAACTGGGAGGCAGGGGAAGTAGAGCAGGTCTCCAGGAGCTGCAGCTGTGTGATGGCCAGGCCCTTCCACCCACAAGGGTGAGAACAAGGTGCAATAGAATATGTTTGGGGGTATATGTACATGTGGGCACCTCACTTCCACCTTCCTGGGCAGAAGGGCTGGGTGGGGTGCAATTCATTGGTGGGCCCTGCGGGCCAAGTGAAAGGGCCTGGCAGGTCAGATCTGGCCTATGAGCCATAATTTGCCCACCCCTGTGCTAAAAGGAGTGACAGACTGCCACCCGTCCCCTGTCCCAAATCATAATGTTTACTAGTTTGTCATTTTATTTTTAATTTAGGCTCATACCAGGCATTTTAGAAAGTGTGACTATCAAATATCCAGTCTTAACCTAATTTAGATTACAAGTTCACTTTAAGATGGTTTGAAGTCACAGTAACGCAATTAAATTGATGTGGATTTTTGATATAGGAAAAATGTAACCCTGTCAATTGCAAGTCCTTATTCCAGAGCAGCAGAGGCCAAGCCAGCCTTTTTGGCAGGTGTACCACAAATTTGCCCCACACTCTCTCCAAGTGCCACTCTGATCCCCTTTGTCTGCCTGACCTGCTGCTCTTTCTGTTACCTGTCCCCTCCACAATCTGCTGTGTGCTTACCACATACAGATGCTGCCTGTGCCATCAGGTGCAGACAGATGCAAGTGAATGGCAGAGAAAGACTGTTAAACCCATCCCAGAACTTCAGCAAATGAAGTCAAAATGCATTTCATGCTTTGAGCAGCCAGCAGGCAGCCACATACACTGCACTATGCAAAGTGCTTCCTCACAATCCACATCCTCACTAATCTGCTCCTGCACGTGCTCTTGTTCCTGTTCTGCACTTCTGTCTTGCCCAGGAGCCACCCATTGCCCTAATGAGAATCCTGCACTCTGTAGTGGCCATGTTCCCACCTCAGCTGAACAGAGCCCTGCTTCCCAACACCCACAATGACACTGCCAGGCTTGCCACCCTGTTCCAGGGGCTGACCTGGCCGCAGACACTACCTGCAGCACGGAGGACCTCTGCAGCACCTTCTCCTGCACCACGGGGTATGTGGCCAGCTTGTCCTGCAGCTCCCGGTGCAGCGGGTCCTCCTGCAAGGCCTGGCTAAAGGTGAGGTCATGCTGGCTCAGCAGCTGGAGCTTGGCCTGGCGGTAGAAGGTGGCCAGGCCTTCGCGCTGCTTCTCCTTGATCTTGAAGAGCCCCTTGAGGCCAAAGGCCTCTAGGGCTGGCCCTAGGCTGTCTGTGAAGACGGCTTGGTCCACCTCCTGCAGGCACACGAGGTCAGCATGATAGCCAGCCAGCTCCTTGTGCAGCAGGCTCTGGCGGTAGTCGAGCTCCAAGGCGTAGGGAGCGCAGTAGGGGAAAAGCACAGTACGCGAGAACTCAGTCTGTGCGTAGGTATCAGCCAGCACATTGTAAGACACAGTGCGGAGGGACCCAGTGGGGGCCAACCGCCGTGTGTACAGGTGTCGTGCATCAAAGGTGCAGGCGCCAGGCCCTGCCTCCACCGGCCCCGTGCTCTCGACCTCACGGGGGACGCCATAGCGCTGCAGCCCATCATGGGGTGTGCAGTGCAGCTTTAGGCGCTGCCCCACATGAACATTACTGGGCACGAAGACCTGCTGGTTGCCACCCTCGACATCCACCCAGGTGGGCTGAGCCCCATCAGCGCTGGGTGGCCGCTCGCAGAACCAGCGGAAGAGGCAGTGGTGAGGTGTAGTGAACTCAGTGGCCAGCTTGGGGCAGACAGGGAAGCCAGCCAGCAGCGAGCGCGGCAGGTGCAACTCAGTGAGCATGGGAGGGTTGCGCTCCACACGGTACGTGGTGTCGCCGATCTGCAGCACGGCACCGTCCTGCCACGCGTCAGTGTTGGGCACGTCGTCGGCCACGGCCTCGCCATCGCGGGAGAAGAGGCGCACGGCAGGCAGCAGCAGCTCCTCCCCGCTGGCCGGGCCCTTGCGGCCCTTCTTGGCCGCCTTGGCCCACCCCTTGGCGGCGTGGACGGCGATGCGGGCGAGCGCGCGGCCCAGCGGCTCCTCGCGGTCGCGCTGCAGGTTCCGGGCGCTGCCGTCGCTCACCACGAACGACAGAATGAGCTTGGGCTCGGCGGGCACGCAGCGCACCACGGCCCGCTCCATGGCGCCAGCCAGCCCCGCTGCCGTCCGGGAGTACAGCTGCAGCCGCAGGAACCGGAGCGCGCCGGCCGGCACCATGCGTCCCTTACCGCCGCGCCGCGTAAGCTGCTGGGAGGTAGCGGAGCGGATGTGACGACGCGGAACTGCTTCCGGGCCAAACCGACATGTTGACAGAACAGAAGAAACCGGCAGCCTTCCCCCCGCCGGAAGTACCTCCTTTTCTTAGGAGGACGGGGCTCCTGCTGGCAGTAATGCAAGTGAGTCGGGAGCATGGCTGTTGGGGGGTGGTGATGCAGTACCGGGTCCTAGCACCGTGCTTTTCCACTCCAGCTAG